TCGGCTGGCTAAACGCAATACAGTCAAACCTCGGTTATCCGAACATCAAATATCCGAATATCGGATTATCCGAACAAGATCTCAAGGTCCCGTGAATATTTAATAAGCCACTGGACCACCCGTGACTATGGCTTCCTTTATTTACGATCAGATCCGTTATCCAAACAATCAATATGCGAACAAAATACTTCCCGCCCGTCTCGTTCGGATAATCGATGTTTAACTGTATAGAGCAGTTAGCGTGAAACAAAACACAAAACAAGCGTGATCAGGAGTGTTATCTTAGCGGTAGGATTACATTAACATTTAATTGGCTCTCGGTAGCATGGCGCCTGTTGCCAGAAAAAAAAATTAGTGTAAATATTTTTTTCTAAAACAACACAACTTTTTCTCGTAGACCACACTTCTATACAGTGCGTGTGAGAAAACTCGTAACTGTACCACGTTTCTGTCATTGGTCTGTGAGAAAAGGTTGATGTTGAGGATATATTTGTGTTTGACAACGGCCCCTATGTGAGTTACGTTCTGCGTTGCCCGACCGACCATGGGCCCGTTGTCAAGAAATACGTCGTAAAGTTGAGACTAATGTTATTTTGTTTCTGTGACAACCTGGCCATAGTCTCCTCTGTGATTGTGCACGCTTGCGAGAACGCGAGAAGGTAACATATAGTGGGGCAGGTATGTGTAAATATTAAGAAGAATTGTAGGTTTTGTGCGTTATAAAACGCACATAATTGGCGTATATGATATTGATATTAAGGGTATACTAAATGATTCCGATTTCGGATATGTAACGTAGTGCCAAGCTGAATTTTCTCCGTAACGCCCCTATATGTTATACACTGCTGTGCGTGGCGGTGGTGCGAATCTGTTTCCATGTGGGATCTGGCAGCATACCTCGCGCGTGTGGCGTAGGTGGTGTTTGATGTATGAACATGCAGTAGCAGTAGCAGCTCTTCCCGTCCGCACAGTAGCATATTTGATCGCCGCCGGTGACGTCACTAACCGCAAGCTGATATCAGCGAGGATCAGCTGGTGGCGTCTGTGCTGCGGATTGATGATGTCTAGTTCGTACAAGTGATATGAATATGAGAATGTTTACGAGCATGTCAATGAGAAAAAACGCGTGTGCGTCCTCCACAGATAAGGAAGGAAGACGGTAGCAGTATCGAGGGGGGCGGTGTACACCGTGTTCCTCCACGTGACATTAACCATGATATACTATCATGTGCGTGCGGTGCGTGCGTGCGTGCGTGCGTGCGTGCGTGTGGTGATGGCCTTCTAAACAGCATCCATAAACTAGTGGTACACGCTGTTTTTATAGCACGACTGTAACATCATATATGTACTATATACGATCTTTGAGATGAATAAGATCTGTGTTTGGCGATTGCTTGGTAATGTGATGTCTTCCGTGATGTCTCCGTGTGCGCGTCTGCTTTCCCACAAAGGAGCTACATATAACTAGCGTTATAATGTAGCTCCTTGCTTTCCACGTGTTCTGTATGGCCGGCGGCCCTGGGTGTTAGCTGGAGTGATGGGATGTGCTGCTTGCTGCTGGCTGCTAGTGGTGGTGGTCACAGGTGGTGGAGGTTGAGGAGGAGGAGGAGGAGGGAGGAGGAGAGGCAGGAGGAGGAGGAGGAGGAGGAGAGAGGAGGAGGAGGAGGAGGAGGAGGAGGAGGAGGAGGAGGAGGAGGAGAGGAGGGGAAGAGAGGAGGAGGAGGAGGAGAGAGGAGGAGGAGTGAGGAGGAGGAAGGAAGGAGGAGAGGGAGGAGGAGGAGGAGGAGGGGTAGGAGGAGGAGAGAGGAGGCAGGAGGAGGAGGAGAGGCGGGAGGAGAGGAGGAGGAGGGGAGGAGGAGGAGAGGAGGAGGAGGAGGAGGGAGGAGGAGGAGGAGGAGGAGGAGGAGGAGGAGAGAGAGGAGGAGGAGGAGGAGGAAAGAGAGGAGGAGGAGGAGGAGGAAAGAGAGGAGGAGGAGGAAGGAGGAAGAGGATGGAGGAGGAGGAAGGAGGAGAGAGGAGAGCGAGGAGAGAGGAGGGAGGAGGAGGAGGAGGAGGGAGGAGAGGAGGAGGAGGAGGAGGAGGAGGAGGAGGGAGGAGGAGGAGGGAGGAGGAGGAGGAGTGAGGAAGGTAGAGGAGGCAGGCAGGAGGAGGAGGAGGAGGAGGAGGAGGAGAGGAGGAGGAGGAGGGAGGAGGAGGAGGAGGAGGAGGAGGAAATATGAGAGAGGAGGAGCGACGAGCGAGGAGGGAGAGGAGGGGAGGAGGAGGAGGAGGGGAGGAGGAGGAGGAGGAGGAGGGAGGAGAGGAGGAGGAGGAGGAGGAGGAGGAGGAGGAGCAGGAGCGAGGAGGAGAGGAGGGAGGAGAGAGGAGGAGGAGGTAGAGGAGGAAGTGAGAGGAGGAGGGGCGAGGAGAGGAGGAGGAGGAGGAGGAGGGAGGACGGAGGAAGGAGGAGAGGAGGAGGAGGAGGGAGGAGGAGGAGAGGAGGAGGTGGTGGTGTCTGCTGCTGCTGCTGCTGCTGCTGCTGCTTGCTGCTGCTGCTGCTGCTGCTGCCTGCTGCTGCTGGCTGCGCCTACTATTAGCTGCTGGCTGCGTGCATGGCGGGGGGGGGGGGGGGGGGGGGGGGGGGGGGGGGGGGGGGGGGGGGGGGGGGGGGGGGGGGGGGGGGGGGGGGGGGGGGGGGGGGGGGGGGGGGGTATGGTGCGTGGTGCGTGGTGCATGGTGTATGTGCAGTGAGTATCTTGTTTGCCTTGATCTTGATTTAGGTCAATGTCATGGCCACGTATCTTCTCCCTGTACTGCTACAGGCGTGCTGATAAACAGGCGAGTACTTTTTACAAGCCATCCTCTTACATGCGTGCTCTACAGTAGACTCATGTATAGTGACTGTATACGGCAGTATATATGTCAGTCAGGGATACATTGATCCACAGAGGAGCAACCATGTAACCCTTCCCCACCCCCTCATTTTAGTTATCAGGGGAAAATTCAACAGTTCTTAAGTAATTGCTACAATTCAACGTTGTATATGTCGTTGCTGTTTTTCAATTCGTGATTCGAATCGCTGTTTATGGTACTGTAGACACGAATTGCGCACTACAGTGACTACGCACAGAAGTCGTATAGAAGAACTGTAACCTTACCTTACCTACCTTACCTTTACCTTACGTTACCTTTATGGTCTGCGTTTAGCTTGTAAAAAGTTCTGCCAGACCGTCTATTACTGTTGTCTAGGCGTTCTAAAATGATTACGTCCGAACCTGGGAATATGTACAGCGAGGTGTACAGATGTACAACTATATATGGAGAAAGTTCTATTTATAGTTAATTGTTATTAGTATATTACTGCAGAAGTACATTTGCCAAGCATCTATCGCTGGCAGCTGTGTTGCCATGGAGATGTTTAAAACTGCCTCCTTAGCAACTAACTAGTAATACTAAAAGACAAAGCAAATGCCACGTAATATTGCTTGCGTGGTTGGTATCTTGATTTACAAGCATTTTCATCGCATTTTTTCTAGGTAGTTATATAGTACATTATTTTAATATTGTTTGGTAAAGAACGACCGTCCGTGTTTAGACGTGGGTGGAAAGTTTCGTAAAGCAAAGATTGGTGGAAGGTAAAGGTGGTCAGCGGTACTGGCTGAGACGCTGATGAGAGACCACACAACACACGCGCGCATAAATGCTGCTTCTCACAGCCAATCAGTCGTCACTGCCGGTATATATGTTCTGATGTTATGTAGACGCAGCAGCCAGCACACACGTGATAAGCAGCTGCTACAGGTGGCTGGCTGATCATGTAGCTCAGCATCCTAGGCGCGTGCCACCGTCGACATCCTTTGCCAGAATCCGACACCTACTCGTCTTCCAAACTCTTCCCACAAGAAGAAGTGGCAATGAAGGAAATGTTGTGCATCTAAAGTATTTCCAACATAATTGATTTCGAATTCGATTTCGAGAAGTGATTTCGAAATAAATCCTAAAGTTAATGGAATGATATTCTGGATGGATGATATCAAGAGCGTATAAAGAAGCTTCTTTATATATATATATATATATATATATACCTTCATTATATATATATATATACCTCTTTATAGAATGCCTTCTTTATACGCTCTTCATGATATGATTGTGCACTTAGTAACACCCGACCGTAGACAGCTCATGATACCTCTCTATTGGCTGGCTGCCAAACGAAGTCTTTACACGTTCTAAGAGCCTCGACTGGCAGCGGTTTACATTGGAAAACAACGGAAGCTGTATTATTTGTAAAATGCGGGGATGATGCTATTTTTACTTTCACTTGAAGTTAGAGCGTGCCAGGAAACGATTGCGTCGTTGGGCAGATGTGTTGCGATGAATGTTTTCATATATGGGTGCGATCAGATCATGATGCGGCGTGTTTCTTCCCGTCGTGTTCTCTAAACTTGAAAGGTGGCGAAGCACGCACAGTGAAGCTTGTAATTATAGTTCCGATCCTTCGTAATGTTGAAGTAATTATGTAACGTTGAAGTATGTTTGTTATGTATGAATAAATGATATAGAAGAAATCCAAACTTGTGTGGTAACCTGAATAAACTTTAATATATATGCTCGCACACAGTGTGTCTATCTTACTCCCCCGACCACAACCAGACTCCTCCACTCCTACATCTCTGTCTCCCCAAAACTCCCGCCATGTCTACACTCGATTCTGCACCCCTATGTTCACAATGACTTCGAGAATCTGCCTAACCTAAACACGCTTATCCATTATTCCCTGTAACATCAATGGCGGCCACACAAAATGCGCGACGCTGTGTCTAGATAGACTATTACTAAAACAAACCCCTAGTCTAACTCACATGACTACTCTATGTAAATCTGTAAAACATATATGTTACAATTATATATACATACATATACATCAAGAGTTCATAATATAAAATGTTCTATTAAATATGGACTCTTGATATACATTAGATGGCACGTGTTTGAAGGATGTTCATCTGTTTTATTGCAGATAGATATTGGCGCCGTACATGAGAACGTTCAGGGAGCTTGCTACGACACAGAATACGCTAGCAAGTACGTACTATACTAGCTGTTAGTTTTGATGAAGGGGTCGTTGTCGTATCCGGTACTACAGATAAATATGTACCTGAGTACATATATGTATACACAAAGTGTACCAGACTTGTACTACAGAAGTGTACCCTAACCCTAACCTAACCCTAAACATATGCTTATATATAATATAAACATAATTACTAAACAACCTAAAACACCTCGGGTACTATATCTGTAGTACCTGATACGACAACGACCATCTGCGTTAGTTTTCATAACGATGTAAATTGTAATTATCCTATTCATCACCACTGATCATGTTGTAAGAAAAATCGCTTGGGATTAAGATTGGGTTTAAGGCAGAATATTGTCATGTAGAGAGATAACCTTTTTGAATTGTGATGTCCGCGAGACTTCTCTGTATCTGAGACAGATACTGACTCCTGTTGCATGCGCGTCATGCTAAGTTTCCATGTCTGCATTACTAAAACCTGTAGTCACCGTGACTGCCTCAGCCTTGCAAAAATGTTTGGTTGAACATACTATTAGCTTGTCTGTGTTGAAAAAATGTATCATTTGTATTTTGTATTTGTATTCGTATTGTATATATATGTTGCTTCTGTAAGCCAACTAGATAACTGATTTTTACAGGGTTGTACATACATTAGATATTAGCCGTTTGTAAATATTTAGTTCATACAGGATAGCATTCATCCTACCTGCTATCGCTCTAATGTCGTATGAACAACGTATCATATTGTATCAGTAACCAATAAGAAGGGTATATATATACATACATATATATATATATATAATATGTGTATGTGTGTGTTATTCATGCCAAGGCCAGTCTTAGGAGACTAACGATTGTAATTCAATAGACCTGTTGGAAGATCAGACGCTTTTTTACGTTTAAACTAATTATCTGGAGTTTTTAAACCTATATTTAGACGTCTTTTTACATTATTTTTTGCCCACCAATCGTCCCCATTTTAAAAGCTAGTAGAAACCAGTTTTAGACGAAAACTTAACCATAGATATAGAATTATTTTTAATTAAATTAAGATTTCAGTTATATACTATGTACAAAAACGTGTTTCAATGTTCACAATGAATATATTAAAAGAACGTTTAAATAATTTGCTTACCACGAGTACTGTACCAATTAATACATGTTCTGCCCCATGTCCATAGACTGGGCTAACGCTCCATTAGGAGTGTTCCCAACTTTGATATCATTAATGATTAATGATTAATGATTAATGATTAATGATTAATGAAAGATGATTGATAAAGTTGGGAACACTCCTAATGGAGTATCACCCATAGACTGGGCACTTACTTACAAAGGTGAGATTTCATTTTAAATGTTATTTAGCATAAATATACGCATGGTCTAACGAAAACCAATAGATAACTCTAAGTCGTTCGCAATTTTCCTCCATTTTATTTTTAATGTTCTGCCTCCATAGAAATATTGCCAGTCGGGTGCATATATAGCTGGAGACTTGCTTAGGGCAACTCTCCAAGTGGCAGCAGCACAACTACTGCGGTTCAGCCACTTACATGATTATATAGAGTCGATGCATGTATCTTTCCTTGCAATACTACAAAATTAACGTCTAATTATAGAGAATAATGTGGACATGTTTAATTGTTTACGCAGCACATTATACTAGAAGGTCATTCAGTAATGTTTGCGTTCATCAGATTGAGTCATGAAAGGTTACGTAGTAGTGTAGAATTCGTACAACTGCCGATTGGCATCCAGGGTTCGATTTTAAGGACAGCAAGCAGCAAATTAACGGCCTACGTTGGTCAGTTTACAGGGTTCGAAATTAAGGCCAGCAAGCAGCGGTTTTGCTGCCTGCTCCCAATGTCATCAGCAAATACTTGCTGCCAAGAAATTCCTGACAAACCACATAGCAACAGCAGGAAAGATTCTTCCCGGTTGAGTAAATTCGCGGTTTGTCTTTTTCACTGGCAGCAAGGCCTGGTAAAAACGCTAATTTCTAATCGTGGATACCTTTAGCTAACGCACGTTCGCCTGAACTTCATTCATAGAACTCTCTAATATTCTGTCTGAATTTGAAGGGAATTTTGAGTGTAGCTTAATTAGCTAATCATGCATAGCATAATTACTGCGTAATATACGAGGAGCAATAAACGCCTACACGATGCAAAAAGCTGTGCTTAAAATTAGTAGGTTACGTGATAGTAGCAGACTACAAAATCCTGGCTACTTGTTTTTGCCATGGAGACGAAATACTCTCAGCAGAACGCATTCGACACGTCATCAATCACACTCAAATAGCTGAAATACATGAAACTCGGGCATTTTGCCAGTTTGTGTAAAAACGAAAATTGGTGCACGTGCACATGTTGTTGTTGTTTTCGGTTTCTTTATTTTATACTGGACTCGAGGGTTTATGCCTGTTAAACATGCCTGTTAAAATTGCTAGAAAGCATTGATAACATAGGCAGTAGGAAATAGCATTTTGATCACAAAGAACAAGCCGGTATCTTACTATAAATTGGGGAATTTCTGTCTGGCACTCGTGTGTGTGTGTGTGTGTGCGTGCGTGCGTGCGTGCGTGCGTGCGTGCGTGCGTGCGTGCGTGCGTGCGCGCGCGCGCGTGTGTGTCCGGCTATACGTTTCCACACCGCTCAACGGATCCTCTCCAAACTTGGTCGGAACATTCTACAGATCATGACACGTTGCATGTCAGGCTATTTTTTCCACAGTTACATTTTTTTCCCATTCCACTTTCAAAAACATTAAAATAGTGGGAAATTTTTGCACCGAGCGCGGGGCGGAAAAAACTAATCCCCAGGCACTCTGTGAGGGCGAGCCCACCATGTAGGGGTGGTCGGGTAGGGTATGGTTAGGATTAGGTTAGGGTTCGGTTTAGGATTATGGTTAGAGTTAGGCCTACCCTACCCTACCCGACCACCCCTACACTGTGGGCTCACCCTCACAGAGTTCCCGGGGATTAGTCTTACCCGCGCGGGGCTCTAATGAAAACAAACCGCGCCACCTATCGGATCTTATATGAGTTAATATATAGTTTTAACACTTTTAATAAAGGCATTTTTTTTTATAGAAATAAATATAAACATACACGGCAGTGTCTACGGCAGTGGCAACGGGCAGTGTCTAGTACTAACAAAAGTTAATTATTTTCGTGTGTAATGAATATAAACGTGGTGTAATATGTACAAATACCAATTGGGTTCACCAAACATTTTTTAAGTGTTTATACTTTTGCCGGCAATAGTTTTGAAGTCATGGGCTATTTGAGACCCCCATTTTGACTAGATGTTATTCAAAGGTTTTATGCGGCTATTTTTACTTCTTTCTCTGACTTATTCTGATGCAATAGCGTCGGTTATTTTTAGTTGTCTGTGTAGACTAGTGCGGCTATATTTGAACTTCCGTATTTTGCCTTTCTTCTAAAAAGTATTGTGGCATGTCAGCTTATGTGATAAGGTGCAAACAAGAAAAGTTGAAACTTTATTCCTCCACATTTTGTGTCGACTTAAAAACGGGTCCCAAATCTCCGTTTTTTGAACATGTCACAATTTTCCATCGTGTACCTGTTTGCATATTTATACTGTCAAAGGAAATTTTCTGGGCGAATGACACAAAAGACGAAACCAAATTCATGCTATCTGGTATCGCACAAAAAATGTTATCCTGTTTACACTTCCTGTGTTCTCAATGTCAAGCTAACGGAATATCCATAACAACAAAAATGAAAATGAAACGTGTAATGAAAAACACAGGCAGTTCAAAAGTTGTCTCGCAGAACTCTGCTCGTGCATGCACCTTTAACGTGTTTCGCTCGATCTTCGTGGCTGTGTGCGGATTCCCGAAACAAAAAACATTGCTCAGCTGAGCGTGTTTCGCTGAACAAGCAATGTTTGATTCGCGGAGCGTGTTTTCGCCTGAGCGTACGTTTTGCTCGGGTGTGTGCGTCAATCGTTCTGCTACACAGCGAAACGCCACAGACGGTCTCCAATCAATGTTCTTAAAAATATCACATGACACACAAAATTGGATGTCCATTGTGTGGCTATTTTTGATGTCATGTGACAGCGGCGCTGTACGCAGTGTTTCTGTATGTTTTGCTCAGCGGTGTGCTGTGTCAGGTGGCGTGTGTGCGCTTGCTCGCCGAGCAGAACGCGAAACGCTGGAAAACAAAATTTCCCGTTTTGCTCGGGTGTGTGCGCTAGGCTTTAGCAATTAGGGAGAGAGAGCACAACATATTTATTTTGGCTCGTGCGCAAAAGAGCGGGTGTTCGTTTCCGGTGCTGTTTAGAATTCTTTGCCTTCACTTAAGCACAACGCACACACCCGAGCAAAACGGGAAATTGTTGTTTTCCAGCGTTTCGCGTTCTGCTGGGCGAGCAAGCGCACACACGCCACCCGACACAGCACACAGCTGAGCAAAACATACAGAAACACTGCGTACAGCGCCGCTGTCACATGACATCCAGAATAGCCATCCAATGGACATCCAATTTTGTGTGTCATGTGATATTTTTAAGGATATTGATTGGAGACCGTCTGTGGCGTTTCGCTGTGTAGCAGAACGATTGACGCACACACCCGAGCAAAACGTACGCTCAGGCGAAAACACGCTCTGCGAATCAAACATTGCTTGTTCAGCTGAACATGCTCAGCTGAGCAATGTTTTTTGTTTCGAGAATCCGCACACAGCCACGAACATCGAGCGAAACACGTTTTTGCTCCACGTTCCGGTGTTTTGCTCGGATGTGTGCGTTGGGCTTA